CCGAATGTGTGAATAACCGTCGTAACACCAGGTAACTTACTTCAGGTGCGAAACGTCCTTGCTAACGCTGTGCTGGTAGTTCTTTAATTTTAATTTGCCATGAGTGAGTGAGTATGCGAGTGAGCGAGTGAGTGAGGTGAGGTGAGGTGAAATTGGGTTTAACGTCGTTCTTGAGAATATTTCGCTCATATGACGACGTACATGCGTGTGTATGTGTATGTGCGGCTGCTTGTACTAGCCCAGACTGAAGCTGGTTTTATAGTGCTAACCCACTGAGATACCATGCCGCAGTGAAGCATGAATACCCCACTCAGACACATTATACTGACTCCGAGCCGACCAGTCCTTGTTGTACCCATTAATGCCGAGCGCCAGGCAGGGACCAACAAGTACCATATTTTTACGTATTTTGGTATGACGTGGCCGGGGATCGAACCAGCGACCACCCGCGAGTGAGCGAGTGAGTGAGTGAGTGTATATCACAAGCAGCTCAAGTTAAATTACCACACAAGGAACCATAGGGACTTACGGTACTTCTGCTACCTGCCTGGTACCCATTAACACCATCCCTCTGTCTACAGGCGAATATGAGAGAGCAATGCCATACAGCTAAACTAACGTACTACGCTTAAAACCACATACTATGAAAACCATTTTTGTACCTTCTCATGAGGACTATTATTTTACTCCTCTCCAATTCCCTTTCATGATGCAGCTACTAGGAATCAAAAGGCAGGCACAAATGTCATAAAAGTGATGGCAAATTATATTGCCATAAATAGTCGTATTGTCGTACCTGATGATTGGGCGTTAGTAAACTCTACCACAGTTACCTACAAATTATGGCCGTTCCACAGTTTCAGGGGAGATGGTAGCTCTGGCGCTCCACTCGCTTGGTCCGTTGCAGGATGCTAAGTCAAGGAGTGAGGATCGGGCGACCGTGACTCCTAACTAACCACCTTACATTCATGTACTGGCTAGTATGGTGATCTACCTTCAGTTGTTGGCGATCTATAGCCCAATTTTACATTGTATTGTCCAGAAATAATTTTCTACTTTTTAAGATATATGTTAGCTAGTTTTAACTCAATCTGTGATAATCTAGTGTTTTAACTGTCCTTCGTTGACAGGGTTTTATATATTATATGTATGTATTACAAATTTAGAACTAGTTTTAGTCACGATATGGCTGAAATATTGCCGATGTGACTTTAAATCTTAACTCACTCACTCACTCACTCGTGTACTGGCACACACACATGTACATTCAAAGATAAACGCAACACCTGGTTCTATACTCACATAGGTTTACTCTGTCTCAGTCCATCTCTCTTACCAGGGATAATCTACAGCGTCTTCTATTCTCCCTGCTCTAACTACAACTTCAACACAAGACAAGGCATCCATGTACCACATTGGGGAACTGAGTGGCGTGGATTGCCTCCGAGAAAGTTGAGCTCGTACTCTCCGCTCCTAGCACCAAACATGTCTTTTTAAATGGTTCGAGCCTGGCCTGATCTTGATCACATGTTTCAAAATATTGTATTGGTTCGTTAATAACCCTATCTGACCTTGCACTCATGTGTGTTGTAATTTGAGGAATTTCGGGCAGCACCGTTCGGTGACTCCCTTTTCCCCTGATTTGTTACTTTATGTCTCCATTCTGTGTTTAACCATTCCTAGTCATGAGCCAAAGGTTATCAGTCCTGAGTAAGACTGAAAATCTAAATACGGAATCTCATGTCATTCTCTAACGGTTTAAGGATGCATCTTTACCTTATAAAAGTATCATGACACCAAAAGTGTAAACATATATTAGCAACACATTTGCCATTAACTTTTCCTGCTCTGAATTTTCATTGGAACGTGAAATAATAAAACCTTTTCTTATCTTCCTTTTCCGCCGCTGTAGTAATTATGTAATCTTTCTTCATCTCTGGCCTTAACCTGTATCGGCGCCAGTAAGGTACGTGGTTGTGGGGGCTGTTTCAGGAGTGGATCCTCAGCAATATCAAACTAAGTACAACGTGTAGACTAAGACTGATATCTTACATAAGACCTTGGATCATAGTCCAATCGAAGTTAGTTGGTGCCAGGTACACTTATCTATCTACATCTACTAGTGAAACATGGCATCTCTGCATGTGTTTCTCCATGTACGTTAAAATACTCACCTGACACTGAAAGTGGAACAAGCACACGTGCAATGTGTGCCGTAGTAATAAGTAATCTTAGGTGATGTTTCTGCCATAGCCAGCAAATGACGACAACCTTAAAGCTTGTTACAATAATCACAATTAGTGAATTACAAAGTCGCCATTCCTAAATCACAATGGGGAATACACTGACTAACGGTGTCCGTGAATGCTCAATGACTGTTTTTTAACCCGCGTAATCAATTACTTGTAACGCGTATAGTTCATTTACTAGAAATAAAATAATTCCTCGGATCCTACTGAATAAGTAATATTATTTGATTTCATATTTCACATGAACCATACTAATGTTCTTGAATGAATCAGTAATTACGATTACGATTGAAATGTAATAAATGTATTTTGGAGCTACATATGCACGATTGAGAAAATAACTGCAGTATAAAGTTGATTTTTAAAAATTGAAATTAGAACTATGCATTTACATTCATCTTTTCGGGGCATGCACCTTGTAAGGAAACATTTGACCAGGACAATAACTATATTCACATAGGTTTACTCTGTCTCAGTCTATCTCTCTAACTACAACTTCAACACCAGACAGGGCAGGCTCGTATTCTCTGCGTTTAGTTCATTTACTACATTTGACTAGAACAATATATCTTTTAACAATCTGAGAAATCTTTGTTGTTTCAGTCGAGAATATGACAGGTTACCTAGAGAGGCGAATGGTGATGAATGGCCTAGCAAAATCGTTCACTTTGTAGTTTGCAGTATAAAACTGTGGCCACACTCCGCTCCTTTGAAACCTCTGTTATTTTCTGTGCTTTCACTGCTTTCTTAAGGCTGTTCAAGATTACTTGCTGTAAATCGCAAAGACGTATCGGTAGAATTATCCTGACATAACTGATACTACAATAAGCTGTAGAAGTACGGTGTGATAGCCTAGTGGTAAATGTGTTCGTTTGACTCGCCTAAGACCCGGGTTGGATTTCCAGAGGAATAAATTGTGTGCAGCCCATTTCTGGTGTCCCCGCAGTGATATTGATAACATGCACTGGTCTGCTTAAAGCGGCATAAACACATACATTAGCTATACCCACATAAAATTTGCTCCGACCAGATTGCCAGTTATACAACCGCACGTGCACTTGTGCATCACACTCGTATAAATTTAAATTTTTAAAATAGTGACAACATCCTGAGTGTCCATATTCAAAAGATATCTCTGCCAGTAGTTGATAAAGCAATTCCGACTGCATCATGAACATGTGCTTATGAAACACTGCTCCAGTCCAATCGATGGCAACCTTCCCGAACACATACACATGCAATCAATTGTTATGGAACAAAACAGAATTGCATTGTGAAGCATTTCATCACTTCGTATCTCCTCTGCGATGACATTTTACTAATTTATTGGAGGCGGTGGGGTAGCCTTGAGGTTAAAGTGTTCGCTCGTCACGCCGAAGGCCCGGGTTCGATTCCCCACATGGGTGCAGTGTGTGAAGCCCCTTTCAGGGATATTAACCACCGTAATCTGACTTAAATAGAACTATGTACAAGATCGCTATGGTGTATTACCGTTGTATCTGCACTTTAATAGACATATGCACTATCTCTCGAGGGTATTTACCATTGTAATCTGACCTTAACAGAACTTTATGCGAACACTCTGTAGTGAATACTATTGTATTTGGACTTCGATTCGAGTTATGTACTACCACTCATTGGTATATATTACTATCGTAATTACTTTGCAGCAATTCGTTTACAAGTTGAAAAAGATTTTGTCGTGTTTTTGGGGGAATGGCCAGACAGACATTAAGGGGCAGATTCAAACCAACATGCATGTTCATGTAAGTATGTCATTTGTTGACATGGATCACAGCATTCGAATATATATATTGTGCAAATATTCAATTATGTAGGTATTTCCCACGTAAAACATGATAATGTGTGCTAGAGTCTCATGTAGGGGCCCCTTGCAGGGACAGTAACTGTTGATCTCCATGTCCAGCCCTGATTGGTCTATCAGAAAAACACCTTCGGTGGTGTAAACTGTACACCAAACGCTCGCGTTGTCTTGGACACATGCATTGACCTGCCAACATCCCTTCCGTCTTACGTCTGAAGTTGTCGTTTTGTCAGATGTGGCATTTATATAATGTCGGCTAATGGACACAGAGTGGGATGGAGCTAGTGTGTCACTTTCCGCATTTATAGACAAATAGCAATGAAAGTGGAAATGTCACCGATAGTAAGTTTATTTAGGTATTGTCAAGAATCCTCGGCAGCTTTCAACTAAAGCCACGGAGGGTTATGTTCAAAAGGTTTTGCAAAGAAAGATCATATTCATATATACTGCCCTCCCAGTAGAAGCGAGAATAATAAATTAAATTATCACGTTTCAACTCTTAACAACCAGGTTGTGTGTGGTTCTGTGCATAGAGCTCAGGTCCCTGATCAGATGAAGTTAAGCAACGTTGGGCGCGGAGAGTCTTTGGATGGGTGATCGTGTTTGGCAACTTGACTCCTGAGAGTTAATTCAGTCCTGCACCAAACCGAAGCACATGTGTTACATGTAGTCTCACTTAATCAAGTGAGCTTTTTCAAAACTGCCTCCGTTCACCCAGCAGAAAATGGGTACCCGGTGGGATACGTCATGTGACTATTAACCTTCTAGCGCCTCACAGTCAGCTTGGGTTATCCGGGGTAATAATATGCTGATTGTTAGCGCTACGAGCATTCATCTAGTGAATGGAGTTTAGTGCATTATAAATGCACTTGTTATTATCATTTTTAATAATAAGAATGATAATTAGCACAAAACATTAAACACTATGAAGAATGACTGCTTTTATTAGAGATTGCTGAAACACGATGCTCCGATGAAAGGATCCTATGGTATTCTTTATAAACTGCAGCCAGTTAGCCATGAAATACTAATGCAACCGCATAAATTAATAAGATATAATGTGGCAACGTGTTGAAATATGTATGGGTGTGGAACATTTCCACATTTTAACATGACCATTAAATTGTGCATAAGGCACAAGGAACAAAGAACCCAGTCTTGTATGGCGGACACGGCAGAGCTCCACACTGGTACTCTACGTTGAACAACAAACGACCGTCATGGTCCTGGTAACTTCCTTCTGTTGCTTTTGGTTCTGAATCAAGGCAGATGTAGTCAGCATTCCCAGCATCCGCGTGTTTTGGACCAACCAGGAATCCCCAGTACTCTGTGTGCCATCCTTCCATACACTCGTGTCTTCCAGGAACCAACGTGGCGGTGGACCGTGTGATGCTCACACAGACAGCGCAAGGCGCATCTTCGTTGGTAAGGTCTGTCCTCCATATCTGTTCATATTCTGCCCCATACAGGTAGTTGAATTTGCCTGTTGTTCTGCCGAACGTCCGAGTGAACTGGGGTTCCGAGTGAGCACAAAGCATGTTTGTGCCCGAGCCTTTATGCGCAGAGTGACCTCCAACTGTAAATCCTGGAACAGAAACATATAACGTTAGTGCCCAAGAAAACCCAGCCTTGACTATCCTCAAAGTCCATTTTGTGAGAAAGGCGAAGCATCTGTGAAATCATCTGAATGGACAAGTGAAAATCAGTGATCACTCCAGGTTTTTGGGTAAAGGAGGCACCATCCATTCCCCTAAACAAAATGGGCAGTTGGGTAGCCTAGTGGAAGTCCAGGTAGCATAAATGTTTGACGGTGATTCATGTACATATGTTCATGGGGCCAAGTGGTTAAAGGGCTGGCTCGTCATACTGAAGACTCGGGTTCGATTCACAACATGGGCACAATGTGTGAAGCCTTTTTTGGTGTCCCCCGCCGTGATATTGCTGGGATATTGCTAAAGGTGGCGTAAAACTAAAGTCATTCACTCATTAAAAGAAGAATTAGTGATCTTAAGGTCTATTGAATCAGACAGTGAGTGAATTTGTTTGATAAAAGCGACAAAACCTTTTCATGTTAAATCTACATTGTCAACGTCAGAGAATAAAGATTACATCTCGATTAATATATTATGGTAACATTGTATCGCCTGTTCAAGTCACAATATACCTGCAATACTGTCAACGTGACTTCAAAGTTTTACTCCTTCACTCTCTGTAGTGGAGACAACGTATTTGTGTTCAACATAATAACTATTTACATAATGTTTACTTTATGATTCGAACCAACGCTAATGACGGTTAAGGAATTCACAAAAGTATTTGAATGACAATACGGAAATACTTACCACTATAAGCAGGCTCCGTTCCTTCTGGACAAGTATCACTTCCCCAGCGTGTGAACACTGCGCCACCATGATAACCTAAATGAATACATAGCAAAGAAAACGTCGTTTAACGTCTGCTGGATCATGGCCCACTCGTCAAATAAATAAAGAAACACTTTCTATTTTCATGAGAAATGTCTATGAAGAGCAGAGTCGAACTGTTTCATGAGTATCTGTGTGTTTGCTGAGCACTATCAAATAGTTATGGTACTAGGTTTTATTGAAAGGGGACCCTGGCGCATGTTACAAACACATTCAAAGGCAAGTCAATTATTCAGATGAAAACCATGGGCACATATTGTACAAATCACAATTGAGTTGTTAATATTGATGAGAATACTACACATGCAATGGGAATATTTATTCAGTATTAATTTTTGTTTGTTTGTTTGTTTGTTTGTTTGTGTGTTTGTTTGCTGTTTAATGCTGCGGCCTGTCAAGAATCCAGTGATTGACATCACGAGCATCGATGAAAGCAACAGATATGTGTCAATCAAATCAGCGAGTCTGACCACCCGATCCCGTTAGTAGCCTCATACGACACCCATTGGTTGTTGAAGACAAATTCTTCACGGGTGCAGTATTAAATAGATCGACCATATATGAACGTTGATAAAGAAGCAGATACTTATTTAATGATATGATCTATATGATTCACATTCATTCGATCCATTAGCATACTTTTCACTACCATTAACTAGATGAAGACAAACATCCTTTCGATTATCATTTAAAAAATGGTGTGTATTATGTATTTAGAATACGTAAATCAGTACCTACCTGTTACAGGTATCTTATTCGCATAGTCTCCTCCTCCTCTTCCTCCTCCTCTCAGGCTCGCCCTCATCCGTGTTTCAGCACTGTCCATTAATTTCAAACTCTCCGCAAACATTCCCGACATTGCATCCATATGCTTCGATAAGTTCCTCGTCAACTCCTGCGTCCTTTGTATAGCGGTTTTCATCTGTGTCGCAGTTACACCCCCCTTACACAGTGCCTTGTGCACGGTCCAGAGGAGAAGGACAACAACCACTGAAGTCAAGAA